AGAAAGACGGAGAGAGAGAAAACAGATAGAGAGACGAAAGGATAGAGAGAAAGACAGATAGAGAGACAAACGAATCCAGAGAAAAACTGGTTGAAGTAGAAGAATTAAATTGGTTTGTGGATTATCTAATTAAAAAAAAGGAACCCAAACCAGTTTTTATTTTTAGTGCTATGAGTTTAAAAAAAAAAAGCAAAACCAGCTGTTTTGGTTTTTATAGAATCAAATAAATTCACATACATGTATGTAATAGCTTAGAAATTTTAAATGCTTCAAAAATAAAGTAGCATATTTGAGCTTTTCACATTAATGTATAATTGGCAAACTGGAATTTTAATTTTTAATTTTTATTTTTGAAGTAAATGTTAAACATCATTAACATTACTAATGAATTTTTTTCTTCAATTTTCCTAACATGGATTTCAGTCGTCTACCTTTTAATCCACCAGAATTGTTTTTAAATGTTGTTTTAATTCTTCGCTAAAGAAAAAAAAAGTTTATTTCCCCCCTGCTAAACGCTTTCTTGTTTTAATTTTTCAAACAACTTTAATCAATATGTAAGACGGTGGTCAATACACACTAGCATTCGGCCCCGCGAATGTACACGGGGCCTGTCGTCTGCGTGTCAGCTTGAGGCCCCCATCTTTCCCGTGTTTACCCAGGCATTAGGTACTGGCCACAGCCTACGATGTTCCTCTACTTGGTCCGCTTCAGAGGCAATGAACACTAGGTTTAACTCCAACCTGGTGAAAACTTTTCGATTCCATCTCAATGTTTACCCGCGTCCCGTCCGTTATGTTTAGTTTACGGGGTGGGTGATGATTGAAATTTTTTTTTACTTCCCTCCCTTTGTTTGATTGAAAAAAAATTCGCTTCCCTCCCCTTTCTTTTTAAAAATATATTTGCATTATTCCCCCCTTTTTTTACTGCGGTAGTGTCTTTGAGTCCTGTGTCTGCATACGCGGGGAGATACAGTTACATGTAGAAATTAACAATTACCTTTTGTGGACTTAATAATCGCGAACGTCCAGATCAAGGGAGGGGAGGCCACTCTGGGTAAATGTACGTCGTTGTTAGCTGACGGTAACGGGAGTTACATCCCATGATTTTAGAAATCCATTAAACCGGGACGCGGGATGAGAAAAAAAAAGTGGAGCGGATAACTTGATACGTGGTTGCGTAAGCATTCTCTCTTTCTCTCTCTCTCTCTCTCTCTCTCTCTCTCTCTCTCTCTCTCTCTCTCTCTCTCTCTCTTTGCCTTATCATAGCAATACTACAGTAAAACGGTTCCCAGAAAGATGCGAAACAGAAAAAAAGCGCAACGGAAAAATGCGCAAAAAATGCACAACGGAAAAAAGCGCAATCAGAAAAAAGCGCACACAGAAAAAAGCGCAAACAGAAAAATGCGCAACGAAAAAAAAGCGCAAGCAGAAATTTACGCACACAGAAAAATGCGCATAGAGAAATTATAGCACAAAACCTATATGGACTAGATGCGCAGCTTTCTGGTTACGCAGCAAAACATTATCCGCATTACTTTACTACAAAGCAAGAAAACGACAAGTAATAACAAAACCGAAATGTGTTTAGTTAAAAATGTATAAATATATACACACCTACACATACATGTACACATACACGTGCTCACACATACGAACACGTATTGACACACATACACATACATACAGCACATACACACGTGATCATAGTTAATTACACATTTGATTCCATACAAATGAACGTTACACAAATAAATGAAAAGCAATTTTATTTTTAAGACCAGCTTTTAATAATACTAAAATCGCATTTGCTCCATTATTATCAGTAAATCTTTACTTACTATTTAAAGATTTGCATTTTATAACTTACTGTTTTTTCAACTGGGTTCTATTATAATTTTAAAGCTACTAATAAATTTCCGGAGAGATCCACTATTTCTGACTCTCATTTTACATAATTATCTACGAGTAAGTTATCTTCATTAATACTTTTTCCTCCCCACTTCTAAAACGTAAATTCACCGTTTGACAATTTTTTAAAAAGCTAAAAGTTTACTCTTTTTTCCGTTGATCTACTTTTTGTACGCGCGATTCCATCCCGACATCCGCGTTAAAAAGACATGACAACCGGGTACCGTTTACGGTTTCTGACGACCTTCTACAAACGAAGTCCCCCCCCCCCCCCCCCCCCCCCCCAAAAAAAAAATTTTTTTCGCACCGCGCGGCCAGCGGCGAGAGGCTGAACCGCGAACAAAAGGGACCGGGGTTCAAATCACACCGCGGGTAAATATGATCAGAGGTAAGGTGATACACGGTATCGGCTGCCCAGAAAGTGAGCGCGGAATTTTTTTTCTTCATCATAAGCGGATTGTTCAAACACGAAGAAGACAGCGGCTTCTTCGTTCGTTCTTTCGCCAAATAAAATAAGATTTGATTTTCCCGTTTTTTTTTCCTGCGCTTGCACCTCTCCGCACCGTGAAGTTTGTCGTTCTGTCTAACAAACAAGCCGTACATTTCATCGTCAAGGCTACGATTGTCTTGGTGTTCGGTTCTCGTGTTACACTACGTTATCGTTGGTCTCTTTTTTTTTTTACTGTAAGTAAGGAAGGTGGGGTGGGGAAAAATTATAGGGAGAGGGGAGGTGAAGGGTGTAGGGAGTAAGGTAATCGGGGAGCCTGTTGTGGGAGTTAAGAGTCGCAATCAAGAAATTGAGTTTTGTATAATTTTAAAACAAGTGGCTGAAACTACTGGCCTATGTTTCCCATAACTTGAATTCGTGTGTATGTGTGTGTGTGTGTGTCTTTATGTGTGTGTGTGTCGGTATGTATGTGTGTGTGAATATAATTTCCAACACGTCCTCTCCCTGACCTATCACACCCACCGGATCAGTAAAATGATGTTCAAATTTTCCTTAGTGCCTAAATTTTTTAAAACATTTTGGCCCTCCAAGTCAAATAAGTCAGAAAAATTGGAGTTGAAAAAAAATACAGCTTTATTTTCTTTACCCTTCTAAGTTTATATTACCGTTGATGTTATCCAGCGTCGAGATAGGTTTGAAAGTGACACAGGTGTGATGATTGGACAGGTAAATCTATCACATCACTTTCAATTGGCCGGGGACGCTACTCCCCTTACCGTTCTGATCACACGGAACTCGAGCATCCGGGCTGTTAACAGAAAATTCCAGCTAATTACAGGGGTGCCAACATTTAACTGGTGTAGGTAACTGAGATGCTTCGACAATTTTTTACGCTAGTTTTTTTTAACCCCCGGGAATTGATTATCTAGATACAACTTTTGTTACTAAGGGATTTTCTAGATACATATTTTGTTAGGTAGAGATAGAGAGTGACCTATCATTTAAGGAGATATATAAATTAAGTTACATCACAACGTAATCGACGTTCATTCGATGATAAAATCGTCCGTAAATGAGAAATTACATTCTGGGCATTAGAAGAATATCTGGATAAAACTGTTGATACAACAGAAAATAAGTTGAATTTGCTAATATTCTTTAAAGAAAAATCGTGATCTTTTCGTGTAAATATATATTTAATATTTGGATACTTTAGTTTTTATTATTTAAGTAGGCCTATAATGTTGATAAAAAGGGTAACTATAAATAGACAAAGAATACTATTCTCCTACATGTTTAGTCTTACACCATCTTTCTTACGAATATCTGTTCACCGTCCTGTATAAAAAATACCTTTACCCTCTCCCCCTTAAAGTTTAAACCCCTACCCTAAAAGATAAATGTCTGAAAGAAAACTCCGGCAAGCAAAGGGGCGTAACTCCCGCCACCTTGGCCCAACACGTGTGAAACACCGAACTTCCCATCACGAGTCAAGAATCAAGGGTTCCCAGGTGAAAGGGTTAGCGCCCCTAGATAACAAAATCACTTGCTAATTTGTTATCCAACTTTTTTTTACAAACCTCTTTTCCCCATTAAAAACAAAAAGACGAACGCGAAATTACCGTGGAAAAACAAATTCTAATTAATCGACATGGGGAGAGAGAGAGGATCAAACGCCTCATAAATACAGGTTTAACCCTCTGCTGTCCGACTCTCTTTTATTCTTCCTCTGTGATGCCCGTACGAGATAAGATAGTGATTAGGCTCTGATTACACCGCTTGCCTGCCCCCGTCCCCACCCCCACACCTCTTGAACAATGGAGGTGTATCCAGAGGAACAAAAGCAGATGTATCCAGGAGTATAAGGCGGCTGGATCACTGGATACATGTTGATACATAAGTGGTGCGTGCTGTAATAGATTATGAGAATATATATATATATATATATATATATATATATATATATATATATATATATATATATATATATATATGTATGTATATAGGAAAGCGGAAGAAACTTATCGTCGAATGTTTCGAATTCAGGTCTTTGTTATAGTAGTATGGGAGGGGTAGGCGAGTTTAGGAAGCTGCTGGGTAGAATTTATTGACGCTTCCTTAGAGAGCGAATCGAGATGAAAGAAGATAATTAATAATCTTCTCATTCCGGGGTTAAATTTGATTTTTGACATGTGGTTACCTTCGAGGTTCTTATGTACATCATTTACTTATACCCGCCCTTTCATCATGGCCCGCACCTAAAAGGTTCCCCGATTTTATACTGTAACAAGGCTCCACGATAATTACAATACTTGATGAAAGTGTATTGTAATTACTTTGATTGTAATTATAAAAACATAATGCTTTCTTATCACTTTCTGTCCAATGTTATTGCATACAATGTATTCAAAGCTTCAACTAATTGTTTTCCTCTGCTGACCACATCAAATTTAATTATCTTTTGTTTTTATTTAAAAAAACGTGTCTTGATTATGTTTCTAGAAAAGACCCTTCAAAAACAGGCCTTCCCTAGTTTCCTATTCAATTAAACCGTTTTATGATAAATATACCACACATATTATTTCATATTAACAAAGTAATATCAACTATGAATTCATACCTAAAAAACCTTTTTTTTTACATAGGTCTCGGTGATGCATGGGGTCAAAGACAACCCCCGAAAACCCCTTTGGAAAAGGAGCTGGGGTCACATTTGCTGCAGGTATGTAGGCCTACACAATTAACCCCCGTACACCACAGCTTATTGAAAAGATGACAAAATGGTCCGCTCATTTCCATCGCAATTTCTTTGGTAATTAAAAACAAGGATCTAGTTTCGCAGCACGTAACAAATAGATTGCTATTTACTTTTCAACATCTGCTATGTAACATCTGTCAGTGATTACATTTTTGGTATATTTACTGTAATTATTTTTCTTTGTGAACTATACCTTTTTTTTTACCTTATTGATAAGTACCAGCTTGCAAATATTTGTATTTGAAGTAGTAAACTTAAAATAACCAAAAATCTTTAGATTGGTTTACACATAATATATTTTTTTTTGTATTATGAAGTAATTGACATAGCAACACAACAGCAGATTTTGGGGGGAAAAATTAAATATAAATATACTATTGTATAACTGTTATTGTTGCGGTCGTCGATTCGGTTATTACTTATTTGGTTTTCTACTTCAGGTTGTCCCACCTCTGCGCAAAATCAAATACGCAACATTTAAAAACTGTTTTAAAATCCGAAATAGTATTAAAATGAGTGTAAAAATTATTTACTGTTAGATTATGAAAATAATAAATAGTAAAATATATTCTTTCATATTAAATTAAATAAAGTTAAACAGCTTACAAAAAAACTTCCCCAATAAAACAATAAAAAAAAAACAAAATTAAATAAAAGTCGAATAATTAATTGACATTAAGCTTTAAAACGAACTTATCCCCGATCCTGAAAATAAACTAGTCTCATCTCAACCCTTAATTAATCTATTTACATAAATACCATTTCAATCCGAGAGCTAACTGCGATGTCTGGGAGTTTCTGTAAAACGATCTCCAGATTTCAGACCACTAAAGACGTACCTCCCAACTCTCGCCCCCCCGCCCCCACACCCCTCCACCCCATCCCGCCCCGGTAGATCTAAGAACGAATTACCGGGACCCCAATCTCTATAATTTAACAGTCGCAAATAGAACCAGTCTATTGTAATCTCATGAATATAAAATAGATTTGTCTGGGGGAAAAGTGGGAGCGAAAGTTGTCTATTTGTTATCGTGGTCAGCCTATATGGAAAACCCAACTCACATTTTGTAAGGCTATTTTTTTTTTTTACATTTGCTCAAACGCCACGTACATTTTTTGTATATATTGGATTAAAAAAAAATAATCTAAATCCTTTTTAATGAACAAAAATTAAAAAGAAAAATGCTGAATACAAACTGGCAGTATCAGAGAGAGGCAGACATTGGGGGAAAAATCTGGCCAAATAAGCACGTTTTGGCAGCGAAAGTCGGCGCATGGTAATTTCGGCATCGAGTAACGTGTCCTATGGCTAGTCACGTCCTTCGCCGGCCGGTCCTTCTTCGATAAAACGTTAGATCTCCCCCCTCCATCCCTCCCCCCCCACTCCCCTCACTGCCTCTCCTCACCACAACATAGCCTCGTTTTGGAAGTCGCTTGATTTCTGGTTTCTCATTCGCCCGCCCCCCCCCCCCCCTATTTTTTCCCTTTCTGTAAACGAGCTTTTATTTATTTCATTAAATTATCTGAGGGTGTAATTTCCACGAAATCGCTTTATAAAAAAGTTTTGTTCTTCCGGAGCAAAATGCGCATGTATTATTTAACCCGTAATAAACACAATAATCAAAGAATATATTAATAGTCATTTATATCTCAAAATAAATAAATAAATAAATAAATCAACTGTAGCCTTACCTTTGTGTATCTGAAATAGTGTGTCAAAACTCTTAACCACTCTGAACCAAACCCTAATATTATGTCTAACCATAACCGGAGAGGATTAAACAAGCTCTCTCTCACACAAATAAGTCTGAGTTATATTCCATTCTAATGTGGACTGGTTTGGGTTAAGGATAGCTGCTTAACTGTTTAGATACAGAGCAAAAAATTGCATTACTACAAGAATTAACGAAGGAGTCTTCGCTCCAATACACATCATATCTTTTAGGGCATAAATTTAACTTCGCCCTTTATTGTCAATCTAATCTATCGTGAGTGTTACCAGTGGCGTAGCCAGGATCGTCTCAAGGGGGGGGGGGGGTTTTCCAATTTTTACCCGGGGACAAACTTTCGATTTGCACCCCCCCCCCCCTCAAACTTTCGATTTGCACCCCCCCTCATCAAACTTTCGATTTGTACCCCCCCCCCCCCTCAAACTTTCGATTTGCACCCCCCCCTCAAACTTTCGATTTACACCCCCCCTCATACTTTATATATCTATACCGAGGGGTCTATGGGGGGGGGTTATGACCCCCCCTAACCCCCCTGCCTACGCCACTGAGTGTTACCAATTCTATAATTGGTTTAAAAATAATTAATTTGTACGTGTTGTATGAACGGTTGGTCAATGATTGTTCCAGACGTTGGACGGGTTCATCTTTGTAGTGGCACCAGACGGGAAGATCATGTACATCTCAGAAACTGCCTCGGTTCATCTCGGTCTGTCTCAGGTAGATCAACATTTATCATCAGTTCAACATGCAACTAAGTTTCAAAATTCAAAATCTATTTAAAATGCAACCTTATTTCAAATTCAAAATGTATTAAACATGCAACTTCATTTCAACGTTCAACATCAATTCAACATACAACATAATTCAACATGCAACGACATTACAACATTGAACATTGATTAAACTTGCAACTTTATTTCAATATTCAACATCAATTCAACATGCACATTTATTTCAATAGCCAACATCAATACAACATGCTACTTCATTTCAATATTCAACATTTATTCAACTTGCGACTTCATTTCAATATTCAACATCAATTTAACATACAACATAATTCAACATGCAACTTCATTTCAACATCCAACATTAATAATACATGCAATTTTATTTCAATATTCAACATCAATTCAAAATGCACATTTATTTCAATTTCAACATTAATACAACATGCTACTTCATTTCAATATTCAAAATATTCAACGCCAATTCAACATTTAAGATAGGTTCCACTCCATGTTTTAATTTTAACTCTATTTTTCCTTACATTTGAATTTTCTCGTAGTGAATTAGACACCTGCATTTGGCTTCCATTTAAATGGAACCCCATGACATGCACTAAACTCATACTCCCTATATATTCACATTCAAAAACTCATACTTCATATATATTCACCTTCACAATTTGCACCTTTATACTTTGACAGGTGGAACTGACAGGTGGAAGTATATACGAGTACATCCACCCTGCAGATCATGACGAAATGTCTGCACTTCTGACGGTGCACCATCCTTACCACACCCACATTTTACAAGGTGACTAGCTTACAAACGTCTTCTTGGTTTGTGTGTACACTATAAGACTTGACAGAGAGTAAACTATCGAAACGCATTGGAAATAACGTAAAGCATAAGACAGGGGGAGGGGTTAATAAAGATACAAAGAACACAACAAACAGCAGCAATAATTGTTGATTTGTTTTTTTTTACATTTATATTTCGTATTTTATAAAACAAAAAAAAAACTTACAGAGTAGAATTAGTCCAGTCTAAACTTTATTTTTATTCTTGTTTAGTTTTTGTTTTTAGGATTTCGTATTTCATTAACCCTTAAAAGATTTATTGATACAAAAAATAATTCTTGTCTAGTATGTGTTTTTTAAATTTCTTGTTTCATTAACCCTTACCAGACATCTTGATACAAAAGTAAAATAATTATTGTCTAGTATTTGTTAAGATTTCTTGTTCCATTAACCCTTTACAAGACACATTGATACAAAAGAAAAATAATTCTTGTCTAGTATTTGTTTTTAAGATTTCTTATTTCATTAATCCTTTACCAGACATAGTGATACAAAATGAGGATTTCTTGTTCCATTAACCCTTTACCAGACATAGTGATACAAAATTAAGATTTCTTGTTTCATTAATAAAACCCTTACCTGAAATATTGATACACAAGAAAAATAATTATTGTCTAGTATTTGTTAAAATTTCTTGTTCCATTAACTCTTTACCAGACGTGGAGATAGAGCGCTCCTTTTTCCTGAGGATGAAATGTGTGCTGGCCAAACGCAACGCAGGGTTGACTTCCGGTGGTTACAAGGTACGTAAGGTCATAGGTCATTTCCTTCTCACACGACCATTACTGATACCATTCACAACTGTATTTCTGCTGTTATTCTCAATGCTTAGCAGTAAAAAAAAAAATTAAATAATTAAAACCTGGGATTTTTAAAAACATCAATTAAAAAATCTTTCTCATGGGAGTGGGGGGGGGGGGGGCACTTGAAATAGCATGAAAAAAAAACAACTGAAAATTACTTCTTAAGTTTAATTAATACAAAAATTACAGTGAACGTTTAAAAAACGAGTTAATCTGTTTTTTTCCCGATATATTTATAAAAAATAACTGTAAGATTAAAATCCCCGTAAGTCGAGATTACTGAGAAGATTATTTATTATTTAACTCTACTACCCAATCCCTGTCGTATTACTGACAAACTGCTATCTTTATAGATATAATAGTTTTCGACGTAAAATAAATGTGTTTTCTAGAATTTTTAAAAAAAAATTACTTAATTCCAACAAAGACCTCAGGTCGAAACGTCATGTTTGTGTATATTTATCAAGTTTCGTAAAAACATTATTTCTTTTTTTCAACACCCTAATGCCACAATGAAACAGCTACCAGCAATACACCATGAAATCCCCCAGATTTAAAATGTACTATCGGCTTATAACTACCTAATCCGCTAATCCGACATGAAAGGTGATTCCGTGATTAACTCTGTTGGATCAGAACGAGGTCTGGAGATTAACCCCGGTGCTACCCAGTCTGACACGGGCTTTGTTTCAGGCGCCCCTCTGGAGCCGGCGAGTTTCAGCTCTGAGGTCGCGGTGCTCCAGAGCTTAAGCCCACCTTCAGATAACTGCGGGAACCGGAGACTCCAGGACGGGTACAAGACAAGGGTTTTTTGGGGCCCCTACGACGGTGCAAAACGGTCTTCCGTAAAAACTGTGACCCGTTAAAATAACTATCTGATAAAAACGGAGCTCCATACTTTACCTCAAAACTGAATCAGAGATAAGAAACCGTGCATTTGAGGCATTTGAAATAAAATTATATAATTCGGGAATTTCCCCTCCTTTTGATGTTACATAAATTGATGCCAATTTAATTGCATTAGCGAAGATTGATCCTTATAAAGACACCTAAAATTACCTTTTCGTGCTTTTATAGAGGACATTAGAGCTTTGCGAATTCTCATTCGGAAAATTAAATTCTTTTTCTGGTAATTTCAATTACTTGTGTATTATCCATTTCAATTAATGCTCAAGAAATGCTCTAACTTTCAGATCTAACAAAAAATTGAAAAAAAAAAAAAACGTTACCTCTTACATTCAAAGTATAAATAAAATATGACAATTACTGAGATTGTAATGGATATTTTGAAAATACTTAATTAAATCTCAAATCATTATCCTAGTTGCACTTTCTCTTATCCAGGTCATCCACTGCAGCGGATATCTAAAAATCAAACAGTACACGATGGATATAGCCCCGTACGATGGATGCTACCAGAATGTTGGATTAGTAGCCGTGGGGCACTCCCTGCCCCCCTCAGCCATCACCGAGATAAAGATGTTCTCCAACATGTTCATGTTCCGTGCTTCGTTAGATCTGAAACTCATTTTTCTCGACGCCAGGTAATACACTTTCTTGTGTGTGTTGTTATACCAGTGTTCGATATGGACACAATAATGGAAACTTTAAAAAAAAAAATGGCGTCAGGCAAAGGCGTAGTTAGGAGAAGGCGGGTGGGGCGACTGCCCCGGGCGCCGACTCTATAGGTACGCCAAACGGGGTAGAATAACAATACAAAAAGCTTATCCTGAGCTGCATTACTGAATTATACACAGTCGAAATTAAGAAAAATAGACCGATACATGTCTTTACAGAGATATTAAACAACATCAATTGTATGACTCTAAAATACAAAGGGTAAGTGACTGGTAAAAAGCCAATGGGAATAACTATAGGCGATATAAATGATGATAGGGCGCCAAATCGATAGTTTCGCCCCGGGCGCCAGATTGGATTGCTACGCCTCTGGTGGTAGGCTAATGGGAGTAAATTAGAAACTAAAATAACTTGCTAATGACAACTTAAACTTATCTATAACCCAAACTAAGTTCTACCTTTACTATAACACTAATTATATCGCTTAATATGACAATCTTTACAATAATGTACACACCTATTTTGGAAGAGTCCATTGTTGGAGATTGGAAATAAGACTACTCCACTATAGTAGTGTGATTTACCTGTCTACGCTTAAATGAGCTAATGGCTAGTTTTTGTTATACTCCCAATGATTGGTCAATTTTTAGGACCAGGTACGAGCCAATAGTTAGGTTAGGGCAGAGGAGCGATTTAATCTGAGTAAGGTCAATTTTAGGCTAAGAAAAGTATAAGTAAAGAATCCTCCTTAGACATAGCGATCCATTGGGAAGATGAACTAGAGTTATGTTCTTAGCCTCGGCATATGAAGCGAATGTGTTGTCGACACTATGCCTTTACTTTCCCTAACGTGAGTTAGGTACCCATCAGACTTTCGGGTTAGCAGCCTCGCGCTCTACCGCTTAGGCCACGCCGTCCCAAAGTTATGGGATAGTTACACGTAAAAAAATAATTTCCGCAATAAAACAACTGCTGGCGAATATAAAATTTGGTTAGGATTAAGGTTAAATTTGTCTATTTGATATTTCTCGGTAAGGTATACTTATCGCTATAACAGCGCAGTTTAAGTCTAAGTTACATTACGTTTATCTGTCAATACACCGGGACTTCGCCCAGAGGCGTAGCGACCACTCCCGGCGTCCGGGTACAAACTTTCAATTTGGCGCCCCCCCCCCCCAATATATTTTTTATATTTCTAATTAAAAATAGCAGCTAAAATGAGCTTATTTTGGCGCCCTTAGAGTCGGCGCCCGGGGACATATGTACCCCCTGCCCCCCATCGCTACGCCTCTGAATTTGCCCGAGGTCCTCTCGATGTTAAACGACCCAATTCGCTCATCCTTCTGGAGTACCTTCTACTGCACCCACACGTCAACGAGCCAGACTTCACATAACGCAGCAATGGCCCGCCCGTGCGGACAATGACGATGGCCGCTGTGTACTCAGTACCTGTCCTTGTCCCCCCCCCCCCCCCCCCCCAGATCCCTTACCTCTACCTTTGTTTTGGTTTCTCGTATTTGCATTTGATCTTAGGCGGGGTCTGAATGGCCGACCTGCCGACCAATCAACAGCGTTTTCTCACAGATTTTCTCCGTTTCTCATTTGACCCGTACAGTGAACATCAGTCCCTAGGCTCATGGTCACCTGTGGGGTTTTTTTTAAGGAGGGGGGAGGGATGGGGATTAAGGCCTAGGGTGGTGAAAAGGATGCGTCGCTGTGTCAGCACAGCGTGTAGTGTGCTTAATATCAGATAATAGTTTTAAAACTTGATTTTTAAATAAAAACAAAGCAAGATTTGTAAAACCGCGTTGTGTACGTGTGTTGGGGGGAGGGGGGTGGGTGGACAATGGAGGTTGAAGGCGTAACGGTGCAAACCAAAAAGAGCTAATAAACAATGTTTATGATCTTAATTTCTATATATTTCTTCAAACATCAATCTTAGTTTAAGTCCATCTTTTAATCTATATATATAATTCTCTTCTTCGAGCCGTTAGAAAACAAGCTGCAAACGCTCTCCCTACCTCCCCACCCCTACATGGTTTTAGTGAGCTGTGTTCACTCTAAATGTTTACAAGCAGAGCCAACGATTTTAAACGTAGGGGGGGGGGGAGGAGGGGGGGAGGGAAGGAAGGGGGGGGGGGTTATGGTCCTTAACGAGCTACTTATACTGTTTTAAAGAAATATTTTCAGTGTCAGCGTTGGTACTGTCGAATTCACAAATTATGAATTATTGAAAATTAGAAACAACTAAATAGCGGCGTATGTTATGCCGCGGGCCGGCTCGTTTCTTTTATTTACAACCTCATGATTCTTATTTTAAAAATTAATGCTCGACAACACAGATACAAAATTTGTTTTAATTTAACATGCTTCGGGGTGTCTAACCGATTCTTATATTAATAGTTGTTAATCTATAGACAAAAATAATAGTCTAAATAAGAAACATGAAGTTGTAAATACAAGAACTACAACCAACGTGTCTCTGGTTACATTAGATAAAACATTGTAATTGATAAAAACGACACTAATTCGCTTTGTTGAGGTAGGACGCAAACTAAGCTGAACCTAACCTGAAATTTAAGTAAACAAAGATGGATGTATTTAAATGACAGTGTCTTTATTTAACTTCCAGATCATTTCGGTTAGCCGTACATCACTATATATAATTACAATTATTATTTCCGAGAGTTTCTTTTTACAAAGTATTGAAGGACAATAAATATATTTACTTTTTACTTTTTCATTTGTTGGTACGGTAAATCAAAGTGTGTTTATTTTAACCCCCACGCGTATTTTAATTAATTAACTTCCGTAAATTGTGTGTAGATTCTGACTTTTGGGAATCGTTTGTTATTTTGTTTCTATAAAAGAAAATAATAATCACTGATATTTGCAAACAGTTCAATTTTAGAATTAATGCAACCTCCTCCCTCCTCCCTCTGTCCCCAGGGTAGCAGCATTGACTGGATACGAACCCCAGGACCTGATTGAGAAAACACTGTACCATTACATCCACGCCTGTGATATTCTCCACATGAGATACGCTCACCACACATGTAAGTAGGAACTAAATTTAGGGGCGTCAAAGTTTGGTTTGTCACCGTTTTATGTGTGTTTTACATGTACATAAGCTCACCACACATGTAAGTAGGAACTAAATTTAGGGGCGTCAAAGTTTCTTCCAAAAAAAATTTTCATTTTAAAAACTCTGAATAAGATAATTTTTTTTACTTCGTAGTAGTATGGACTTGATCAATGATTAATTAATTATTAATCTAACCCAAAATTAGGTGTTTAAGCTCTAAGTCTAAACTTTACAAAAGCCCCGAGTTAAAAAAAAACAACTATTATACCACCATTATGTTTAATGTTTATTACGTAAAGCTCTGCCCATCTATTGTGCAGGGAAAGTAGAGTTAGCCTGAGGACTGATAAATAAAGAGCATTATTCGAGTTAACATGAAGGGACTACTGAGTGATACAACTATTTATGTTTTTTTTATAAATATTATCTATCTGTCTATCTGACCAACGGCTGTCCACTCTATCTGACAGAAGCATGTTCCCACTTTCCATCTGACTAGCGTCTGTCCACTCTATCTATCTAACCAACGTCCGTCAATTCTATCTATCTGACCAACGTCCGTCCACTCCATCTATCTATCTCACCAACGTCCGTCCACTCTATCTATCTGACCAACGTCCGTCCACTCCATCTATCTGTCTCACCAACGTCCATCCACTCTATCTATCTGACCACCGTCCGTCCAATCTATCTATCTGACCACCGTCCGTCCACTCTATCTATCTGAACACCGTCCGTCCAATCTATCTATCTGACCACCGTCCGTCCACTCTATCTATCTGACCACCGTCCGTCCACTCTATCTATCTGACCACCGTCCGTCCACTCTATCTATCTGACCACCGTCCGTCCACTCTATCTATCTGACCAACGTCCGTCCACTCTATCTGTCTGACCAACGTCCGTCCACTCTATCTATCTGACTACCGTCCGTCCACTCTATCTATCTGACTACCGTCCGTCCACTCTATCTATCTGACCACCGTCCGTCCAATCTATCTATCTGACCACCGTCCGTCCACTCTATCTATCTGACCACGGTACTTCCACTCTATCTGACCACCGTCCGTCCAATCTATCTATCTGACCACCGTCCGTCCACTCTATCTATCTGACCACGGTACTTCCACTCTATCTGACCAACGTCCGTCCACTCTATCTATCTGACTACCGTCCGTCCAATCTATCTATCTGACCACCGTCCGTCCACTCTATCTATCTGACCACCGTACTTCCACTCTATCTGACCACCGTACTTCCACTCTATCTATCTGACCAACGTCCGTCCACTCTATCTATCTGACCGAGGTCCGTCCACTCTATCTGCCTATCTGACCAACGTCCGTCCACTCTATCTGTCTATCTGACCACCGTCCGGCACTGACCAAACGATGACCACAAACACACTGGTCACATGCACCATTTGCATATCATCGCGTGACACTAATGACTTGACCCGGTGCTTGAGCCCAACCGTCGAATTCTAGACTGGATCTGTTTGCACTGGTCAGTGTATGGTCAGCGAGAGGTCGGCCAGTGGGAAACTGAGCAGGCGACCATGTTGACACACGGGGATCATTTCGACTTCCGCCTTGTCCGTCCGTCGGTGTATAGGGTGATGTGTCTGTTGTGCACACGGACATACGTCTATAACAAATGTGTGTTGCCGTGTGTAGACTTGGTTTTAGTTACCTTTGTTGTTTTACTTATCTAGTTACAATTATTGTTAGAAAATGAAGTAGGTTTATGCAGAATTAGAAATTTATCATTTGATAGATTATTGTCATTATTCTTTGTCCAAAAAAAAAATGAAATTCAATTTTTAATACATCTTTCCTATATTACTTAAAATGTGTATATATATATATATATATATATATATATATATATATATATATATATATATATATATATATATATATATATATATATATATATATATATATAAGAAGAAACTAACAGATCTAACCTAAAATGCGACACCTTCATTTAAAGCCATTATAAGATAAGATAATATAAGATAATAAATAGGCTTCTAATATAAGTAAGTTAGCACAACATATGCTGATATAAGATATGGGCAAGGTTTATATTTCCAAAACATTACGGAAAAGCACAGTTTACATTATGAAATTATCACTTACCATCACATAAGCTTTGTATCCATTTAGTCATGTAATACCTTTCAGTGTTCTCAGCTAATACGGTCTGATCAGTTTTTGTTATTTGTTTCTCTTAAGCCTTTATTACACGAAAAATGTTTATCTCAATTTCAATATTTGATCTTTTTTTTTTTAAATTGTAATTTTATAGCTGTTGTATTATTAGGAAGATCTCTAAAATATAAATTTGTTCGTCATTTCGTCAAAAAATTACGCATATAAATTTTATGTTTTTTTTTGTGTTAATATTTTTCGTTTTTTGTTTGTTACTTTAGTGTTGCTCAAAGGTCAGGTGACCACAAGGTATTACCGGTTCATGGCCAAGGACGGGGGGTGGGTCTGGATGCAGAGCTACGCCACCATCGTTCACAATAGTCGCTCCAGCAGACCACACTGTATTGTCAGTGTCAACTACGTGCTCAGGTTGGTGGGGTGTGTGGGGGTTGTGTGTGGGGGTAGTGTGTGGGGATAGTGTGTGGGGGTTGTGTGTGTGTGGGTGGGTCTGGATGCAGAGCTACGCCACCATCGTTCACAATAGTCGCTCCAGCAGACCACACTGTATTGTCAGTGTCAACTACGTGCTCATGTTGGTGTGGGTGTGTGGGGTGTTGTGTGTGGGAGTAGTGTGTGGGGATAGTGTGTGGGGGTTGTGTGTGTGTGGGTGGGTCTGGATGCAGAGCTACGCCACCATCGTCCACAACAGTCGCTCCAGCAGACCACACTGTATTGTCAGTGTCAACTACGTGCTCAGGTTGGTGGGGTAATGTGTGCGGGGGGGGGGGGGGGTAGTGTGTGAAGGACAGTGTGTGGGGGGATAGTGGGGGGGGGGGCTGTAGTATGATTATGGTAATGTTTGTGGGTAGTGTGTGTACAGGGTTAGAATGTGGGAATAGTTTGGTGATGGTAATGTGTGTGGGGGATAGTGTGGGGTAGTATGTTGAGGATAATTTGTGTGGGGATAGTGAGTGTAGAAGGATAGTTTGTGGGGAATAGTATAGTGGGTGTAATGTGTGCGGGTTGTGTGTAGCTGGATAGGGTGTACGGGATAGTGTTTGGTAGTATGGTGAGAGTGTGTGGGGGACAGTGTGGGAACTAGTATGCTAGTTGATGAATGTGGGTGTATAAAGTCAATTATAATTGGTATCGCTAAGTTTATAGTATATGTATTATTAAGAATAAACCGGGAGTGATCTCCCCTAAACTTTCTCGAATATCCTAATTTATAAAAGCCCAATGTGCGCACATCTCTCTCTCTCTCTCTCTCTTTCTCTGTCCGCAAAAAATTTTCGCCGGACATCACGTCAGAATCGGCAGCGGTATATGGAGAACTTTTTACGGACTTTTGTTGAAAATAATATGTTAGATGTTTTAAATGTATAACCACAATTTTACTTAAAGAAGAAAAATAAAAATTAAAGGCGTATTCGAATGTAGAGAAACAGTATTATTTATGCAACCGGAAAAGCATTAATATATGTGAAAAAGAACGCATAAAACTGTGACGTCACTATTGCTTATACATTAACTAATGACGTCATCTGCCGTGTTAAGAATGAAAAGAAATGAACTATTTCATTCAAATTTGATTTAGATCTACGTACACTATGAAATGTATACAATACAATTTTTCCGGCCTAAACTCATAAAATTTATTTTATGTATTTGGATTCTAGATCTAGAGATTCTAGATCTAGACTAAATCTAAATCTACGCAATAACTAGATCTCTAGACGTAGACGCTAAGATCTAGATTTAGACTCTAACTTCTCTAAAATCAATTCCAAAAATAAATTTCTATATTAGGACTAAACTATTTCAAGACTTATTTATTTTATACAAAATCTTTGTTTGGAACTGGCTAATTTGGGATAAAAAATTAATTTGAAAGAATAGGCATATTCGCGTTAGTTAAGATTTTAAAATACGTGTTTCATTCTCCGTATTTTATAAGGTGCCTAAATAGCGGAGATGTTAGTGTACATTAAACCACGCAGGTGGTGCGGGTTCGAGACACAGCAAGTCAACTTGGTTAATGTATTCTTTTTTATTATGCTCGGGCTAAATTTAAAAAAAAAATTCTTTTAGGAATCTAGATCTAGATCTAGATTGTCGGGTGTCCGATAGGGCACTTCCCGGCGCCGCAGGCGCTTCAAATTTGGCATGATCTTGCCTTGGTGCGACAGAACACGGGGGCCGGTTGGCCGAAAAGTCTACGATGTGGGGGTCAAAACTGACCTCGACTGACCGGTACCTTATATGAGCTATAAATCGAAAAAAAATGTCCACGGAGGAACCTCTTCATAACTCTTGAGGTCGTAGACCGACCTTCGGGCGAATTAATTAAGCATTCAAATTCTCAATGTTTTCGAAAGCCTAAGCGAAGCTGGGCAGCATGCCTAGTTCTTATATAAAACAACAGGGGATGGGAACTCGGGCTATAGACATGATTTTTAATCCATTTTAAATACTTAAAGTTTTAAAAATAGAATAAAATCTCGTAGACAAAAGAATTGCACACCGAGTGAACGTCAAATAAAAAAGTGCATAATAGTGCGCAATATTATTAGTACTTTAAAAATTTACATTAGTTTTTTGAGAAATCGGAAGTAGCGTAAATTAGTACGTCCAGTCAATGGAACTTACTCAAAATTTAACAGAAGGTAGAGAATTAGATCTTTTACTTACATGTGAAATTTTATTTATCTATCTGTAATAGTACTCAAGTTATAGGCTTTTGAAAAATTCAAAGTAGAAAAAGTACCACTTCCGGTTGTTGGAAATTGCTCAAAAGTTGATACGGATCTACGATTTTGATAAAATACTTAAATATGAAATTTCATCAACCTAGCTGTAACGGTACTCAAGTTATCGTGTTTACACACGGACAGACAGACAGACAGACACACAGACACACAGACATACGGACAGAATTGCAAAGCCCAGTTTTTCAGACTGGATTACGCATAAAACCTCTTAATTTTGATAAATCTGGATTGATAATTTTTGCCCGATTAAAATAAGTCCTCTATACTTCGGATGTGATGAAGGACTGAGGTGTAATACGGTGAAAATTGTTAAAATTTCAAGTGATTTTTGTGCACGATTACAATACTTTCTCTATACTTCGTATATACGAGAAAGTAAAAATGAACTTAAATCCATATTCTTCCGCCAATTACACAACTGTAGATAGTTAAAATTCTAAAACAATGTTTCTTCTTTGGACAATCCTTACACACATAATGCAACAATAACATTAATCTACTATAAACCACAATTAAACTTCATCGCTGAAAAAATAAGCGGAATCCTGGAACAAGGCCTCAAGTTGCGGACCATCTGTAAAGAGATATTTTTAAGTCCATTCTAAAACCCACACAGCCGTCACGTTTTGCCGACGACGACCCGTTTTCAATTTGAAGCTCCTGTTATCTCCCATGATTGAAGATCTGCCCCAGCTAGGCTTCAATAACACCGTCTACGCTCTCTACGTTTGCGCACCAAACCTCAAAGAAAAATGTTACGCACCAGTCTTCTCCGGGATTTCCCGGTTTTTCCGTCTTTTTTTTTTCTCGTTACATCCAATTACATTTGACCGGTTTTTGTAATTCATTAGAGCAGATCGAAGGACTTCCGGGGCAGACGGATCACCCACAATCCCTTTCGAGCTTCAGTCTATCTCGGGACGTCTCGCGAAAGCTCGTGAGATGGTGTAACTTTACATGTCGGGTGTTTGCATTCGTGCCCATGTTCGCTTTCGTTTAATAATTTCTCAAAGCAAAAGGAAGCGAGAGTGGGGTTCGGTTCGTGCGGCCGTGGGTCCCAGAGCCCCGGATTGAGCATGATTAATTTCAATTATGTCTGATTATAATAGTACATGTTGTGATGTGTGGTTGTTTTTAAAAGAAACATTATTTTAACACAATCCTTATTTCCCTCTGTCCAAGCCATATGCGCGTAAATTGAAAAGATATGAAAACTATATAAATTTAAGTGCTGGAACTATGGACAAAAAATGTGTCCAGACTTTCACTTGTTGGCATTATTTACGATGTTGTATGTTAGGGAGGTAAACGTGATAGACTGTCAACAATAAATGTCGTCATATTTTTAGGGATGACGAAAGGGTCGACATTCAAACATTTATAACGTAATGCTGTACCAATGGCTATGGTGTGTGGTGTGGGGGGGGGGGGGAGGGGGGTAACTTAAGAAATTGCGTAAAATGGATTTGGTATTTCTTAGAAATAAAAGTTATAAAAATGGGTTGATTTGATGTTTAAAGATTGTTATATTTGGAGGTGATGTGAGAAGGAGGGGCGGTTGAGGGGGGGGGGGGGGTTGGTTCTATAAATAAATGACCAATCTTATTCACGGAAAAGTGTTTACATTAAATTTTTTGTTTTGTTCCCCAGCGAGGTGCTCCAGAAAGACGCCCAGATACAAATTGAGCAGACGATGTCCTCTAAAGAACTCTCCCCATACTCGGCCATGAAGAACAGCAGCTCCACCACCAACTCCACCGGCAACGCCAGCGCCGGATCCGGCGGGAAAACCCGACCGGCAAGAAACAAATCCAGGCGGTCTCCCTACCCCCAGCTGTCCACGGAAACCCCAGAGTACGGCTCCGACTACTCCATGGAGAAGACGCCCCTGGAGTACCCGACCCCGGAAGTCCCGTCCGTCCCGATTCAGACGTACCCCAACATGATGTACCCCACCACCCCCGAGTCCATGAGCGTGGACAGGTACAGCGCTTTGTACTCCACGCCCTACCCCCACCCGGGTATGACGATGTACCGAGACGCGGCCTGTGTCTACTCACCTTACCAAGCCGCCGCCCACCAACGATACCTAGATAACCGCAGCCCGTACAGAACGTACGAAGAACGGTACTACCCGGCTCGCGATCCGGCAGCGTACCCCGGGTACCTGTCTTCAAACGCGGCCATCCAAAGCGCCGCGGCGGCGACGACGTCAAGACTAACTCACATGGGGGATTCTTGCCATGATCCGACCCAAACTGGATTAACCGGGGTGCAGTCTCAGTACGATTTCCGTACCGGAAATGATATTTCCGGAAATAACTCGGGTTTGATTGGAGCAGGGATGAGCTGTTCGAGAAGTAGTTCACGCGAGGCGCCGGCGTACAGTGTTCAGCATTATCCGGCGCCCTACAGCAACCGGTCGGAGTCGTCGGCGTCGGAGGTGGACGTGGGCAGCGAGGAGTTCACGGAGAAGCAGCGTCAGCAGAAGCAGAAACAGCACCAGCACGCCAAACAGCAGCACAGCGCGCAACAGCAGAAACAACAACAACAACAGTCGCAGCATGCGCTGGGGCAGATTTCCGACCCCACGAATAATTCTGGAACGAATTCGAACGGGGTCGGAGTAAATGGAGGGGTTGGGGGCGTGTTGGGTAAATTTGAACTGTCCAATCATAATAATGTTAAAGAGGACACGCACTCTAAATCATCAGATAATAATAGATCAATATCAACAGTCTCGCCCCCTCAAAGAGAGGCGTGTATACCGCAATCAGTAATTATTCGGCGCCAGTCTAATGTCTCGTCGACAGTGACGTCATCGGAACTAGCGCGGGGCATCGCGTCATCACCGGAGTATAAAAACAGCATGAAGGGAAGTAATAAACCCAGCGCCTCTCTTACTGGGAGTAGCCTCTCCTACATTCAGCAGACTCCCCCCTCCAACTCGGAGTCATCGTCGTCGTCGTCGTCGTCTTCCTCATCATCCTCCTCCTCGTCCACGTCGTCCACCGTGCACCACCACCAGCACCAAGGACACGCCCAGCCGCACCATCACCTGCAGCAGCAGCAGCAACAACAACACTACTGCGGCCCCAACCACCACAGCACGCCACTGCACGGCGCGCACCACAATCAAACCAACCACCCTGAGGTGAGAAAGACGCCCGGCGCCGCGGAAATCATCCCCCTTGCCACCTCCCTCTCGCACAACATGGAGTTGTCGATCCCCGGGGACACGGCGACCTCTGGCGTCGAAAAACTCTACGACATCACCTCCTCCACCGCGAACAACCACCCGAACGGTAAAAACTTCAGCATGTCTTCCCCGGAGGACGCGAACCCCACGAACAAATACTTCGACATGTCCTCCGTCACTTCCGGTAACAAACACTACGACATGACGTCACCGCCGAACCACAAACTCTACGACATGACGTCACCGCCGAGCAGCAAACTCTACGACATGACCTCGCCCACCGCCGCCAACAAACTCTACGAGATGTCCGCCGTGCATCACCCCACCAAAAACTTCTACGACATGTCCGCCGCCGTCGCCAACAACCCTACCAACAAATTCTACGACCTCTCCTCTTCCGGCGCCCCCTCCCCCAACAAGTACTACGACATGCGGATGATGCACGACAAAGCCCTCACCGCCACCGCCAACGACTACAACGCCTGCTTCAAATCAGCCTGTCCCTACGACAACTACGCCCAATCCAGCATGTACCAAACGGCTGCGCTACAATCCCAAAGACCATATCCCATCGTCCCCCAGGCCGGATACACCAGCGTCATAGTCGACCCCCAGCAATATCAGATCGCCAATGGATACGCTGTCCACTAGCAATCGCTCCCGAATGTACTACGATTACATAATACTGTGATGATGGTTCCCAGAAAGTTGGTATTAAAAGAAAATCCTCAAATAATTTATTCTTTATGAAACTCAACATATTCAGATACGCTGATCAATAAATTATTTCATAATACAAATCGTACACTTAATATATGGGTACACTTCATATAGTGATGGAGAATTTACAGCAACTTTTTAAACTGCTCAGTATTTCTTTTTTTTTTCAGCTTCAGAAATTATTGTATTGAACTTGTTTTTTGAGGAAAATGTTAAATTCAAATTTGTTTTATGTGAACATGATTTATTAATGTTGTTTTGGGAGAAAATAATAATGGGAGAAAATGATTTTGGGAAAAATGATTTTGGGAGAAAATGATTTTGGGAAAAAATGATTTTGGGGAAAATGATTTTGGGTGAAATAGATTGTATTGTTGTTGCTTTTGGAGAAATGATTGTCAAACTTGCTTCGGGAGATAAATTTGGAAACTCCTTGGGGATGTGAAATAAGATTAAGTGCAATTGATATGTTGTGAATCTTTAGCACCACGTACTGCTATATGTGGTTCTAGCTGTTGTGTGTGCGTGTTTTAAAAATGTAGAATAATGTAGAAACAGTTATATCTGAAGTTAGTTGACGTGTATGTGTGAGAGAGAGAGAGTATGTGTGTGTACATTAGCATATATATATATATATATATATATATATATATATATATATATATATATATATATATATATATATATGTATGTATGAGTGTGTGTTTGTGTATGTGCGTATGTGTGTGAGAGAGAAAGGGTTAGTGTGGTTTATGAGGACTTATATATGTTAAATAAAACCTATGAACGAGAAATAAAATATACCATGTTTAAAGTATTACAACACAGATTGTTGAACACAATCATTACCTTCTGTGAGACTTGTAGATTTGGGTGAATCTTCACTTCAGATACCTGTACTACATGTTAGTTTACTAAGTACCTGCACTGTCACTACTAAGTTAACGTTCCATGGCCGATTTATTTTTAAATACGTAGGCCAATTATTATGTATTGATGACTCACTTTTGATCGATTACTCAACCCGCCTAACACTAGAGTAGTATTTAGAAACGTCCTTAAGAACATCAACCACACAGAAAAAAAAGTATTATTACCTCTCCCCCCACTCCAATGCCAAAAAGTAAAACAATTGAAATGGTAGATCCACGAATGCTAAATCCTCACCTGCGCTTTTAGAAAAAAAAATTAATTCGGATGAAATAAATGAAAGTTATATAAAAAACCCAAAACTTTAATAAATACGAACACATTTTTTTTTCAAATCCATACGAAATAATAGTAAAATATAAGTTTAATGATGATAAAAATTAAAGTAATTAGATATATTTTGAATGGGAAAGGCCATTGAAGTAATACAGAGATCAATTTTTCAATGTATTTCAAGTCTGAAAAATCGTGTTTATAAAATTGACAACTTTGATAACAATGTTAACTTGCGAAAAATCCAACTGGTCTTTAGCATTATAGCTGCTAGGAGACTTTGAATGTTCAGCACTGCGCTGTTTATGGAAAAAGACTCATTAATTTGTAGTTGTCTCCCCCCTTTTTTTTTTTTGGGGGGGGGGGGGCTTTTATTGTTTCCGCCAAACTGGTTTTTTAGTATGGACATTGCAAGCTGAATATTTGATATGAAAATCAGAGCTGAATGGAAGGGAGTGAGACTGTGGTAGGTGAATTGGAGAGGCATAATAAAGTAGAAAATGCATTATTTTTCTCTGACACCTTAATGCAACCCACATATCAAGATTAGAGTTATCGGTTTTAGGTTGCAAAATAAATTAAATATACCGATACATCATGCCCTTACAAGTTGAGAGATTACATAAAAAATATGTCCATGAAAACTAAATCTGGAATTCCCCAAACAGATTGTCGATGAAATTTAATGCGTTGTGTAATTTATTTGGGGCCCTACAAAAGATCTTACTTAACTAATTAATTTAACCATAGGTAGTAATGAGCACAGTTGTGTAATTTATTTTCTCCCCAACGTGTAAAACAGACATTTTTATATTTATAATTTAGACCAGATTTCTGCTCCAGAACCGCGTTTACACTTGCGACTTGTATACTAAACATATCTAGAAAACAAACAAGAACATGTATACTTACTTATTGCGAAGTTATTTTTTTAGACATGTATAGTATACATGTCGCAAGTTTAAACCCGGTATAGTGGGTGAAAATTTAAAAAATCTATTTCATTCATGTGCATTGTATGTTTGTATTAATCACATGGTCATAGTTCTATTTTTTGTTATTTGTATACCTGTTAGGTATGCATAGCTGCTGTATTGAGATTTGAAAAACAAAAGCGTTGTCTGCCAAGATTTGAAAAACAAATATTAAAAATATTATTTTGTATTTTGTTTGTTAACTTAAGTGTTTGAAAAAGTATTATTATTACATTTTTATTAGGTTTTTTTTGTTACATTTCATTAAGAATTTAAAATCAATCATTTTAATGTAATTTTTTTAAAAGTGATGAATCTTCACCACGACAGGTAAAGTAGCGTGTATCCAAGGGGTGGGAAACGGAGAAAGGTAATGTGGCAAATAAGCAGTGAAAAAAATCTGATGGCTGGTGGAGTAGAGTTCGCCTGGATTTTTTGTGTAAAATATTGTGTAAAAGTAGACTTAATTAGTGGCCACAAAAGTAGACAATTAGTAGCAGCAAAAGTAGACAATAAATAGTAGCAAAAACCTGTTTACAAGTTACAGCAGGGTGGAGACCGGTTTGGCAAAACTATACTAGAACTAGACTTTACAGCAACAAAACTAGACTTAATAGTAGGAAAGATAGCTAAATTAGTTTAGTGACAGCAAAACCTAGACTTAATTAGTGACAGCAAAAACTAGACTTAATTAGTTGCAACAAAACTAGACTTAATTAGTATCAGCAAAACCAAGACTTAATTAGTATCAGCAAAACTAGACAAAGAGTCAACATATTTTTCAAGACCTTATGGTGTATGGAAGAGATTGGTGTGGGGGTGGGAGTGAGATGGATTATCTACAGGGCACAGCTAATGTTATTTTCCAACTAACTTCCTTCACATCCCCTTCACAAACAGTTTTAAAGACCGCGTATTCTCATTTATACAGAGTATGGTCGAGTCGCAAAATTGAGGAAGATGTCATTAAATTATCATTTTTCTCTAAAACTAAAATGGCTATTTAATTTCAATAGCGTAAAAACATAAGATATTTTTCTTATATATATATATAAATATAATGCAATGAATATACACTAGGGATTATTATTATTTCTATTGTGAATCTTTCGCTTCGAGACAAATCTTCATCACAATTGGCATCCAATGTCCAATGTTATTTATTGACGTGAATCACACAGTTCATTTCTTATGAGTGTTTTTATTGTCTTGCCTCCTCTCTCGTTCCATTTCCTTAGCCCGTAGACCGCAGCTAGTATATGGAATAGATCAAGTTACAAACTGGCAGTTATTGCTGAAACTTTCTGGAATCTCCAATCAAGTGCAAAGTTATCGCTAGGCGTAAAATTTCGTGGATCGAAAATTAAAAAAAAAAATGTCGCCTCCAGAGTTTTCTTAAAGCAGCCCACCCCCCGGGGCGATTGCAGCGACATATTGATATAATTATCTGCCCATGTCGTCAAAACACGAAAAGGCCATCAGAGTTATCTGCCGCTGAAAAGGCGGGCCCCTTGTGCGCAGGCGCAGCGGCTGTTAACCCGTCACTTCCGGAGACTTCAACTCCTTCCGGTTCGTTCTTCTATCAAACGTCCAATATGTCTTTCCCCCGGCCGACCCTCGGATTTTAGGGGTGTCACAAAAGTCGGGCAATTTTCCACCGCTTCACGTCAACAAAAAAAAAAAAAAAAAATCTCAGATATCGTTGAATGAACAGCTTAATTCGGGATTAATTACATCCACGGAGGTGATGTGTCATTAAACTTTAATCCAGTAAAAAATAAAATCTAAAACCAAAGTGTTTTTAAAAAAACAGCAAATCTGTTACAGAATAAAACTACTAAAGGGTGAAACTGATTTGTAATGGCCCAGAAGAAATGGGCAGTCGTTAGAAATAGTTTGGGGTGAAACGAATTAAATTTGACGGCAAATCTCGGAATAATTTTTTTTTATTTCCCTGATATGAGGAAACAAAATAGCGGTCTGTGGATTCTTAAAGTCACGATTCTAGTAAGAGCTATAACGTTAACATTTGTTATTGTTTTGTTTATGTTATATTATTCTTTAAAAAAATACTTTAAAGCAGTTGAAGCTTATAGCATAGTTCACATCAGAACTCCCCCCCCCCTTCCAACCCGAACGAAATGGAATTTATATAGAAAACATACTTGTCTACTGATGCGTAGCTACCTTTCCCGGCGCCCGGAGACAAACTTTCGATTTGCACCTCCCCCCCCCCCCCCCTCAGCCTGCTTTTCTTTCTTGGTTTACCCTCGTCCTGCAAAGAACGAACTACAATTTTGACTTCCTACTGAAGCACAATTCCTTACGGTAGCTTTTTCTTTAAAAAAATTAATACACTTTTTAATAAAAATCTGATAATCTAACAATGCAAAAGATTTTGATGTCAAATATATATTTCTGAATAGAACAGTGAGTTATGGTTAGGATTAGCGACGAAAAAAAACCCACAAAATGTTTTTTTTTTTTAAATTAATTAAACAAACAATACACGCATTAATCAGAAAACAAAATAAACACATTTTTTAATTTTCATATAACAAAATTAAAATACATTCCATGTTCAGGCAACTATGATGAAATATAGCTAAAATAAACGATTCGTTTTTGAATCAGTTGCCCGTTTAACTTTTTAAGAACACCATCCTAGCCGTGTGTTAATAAAACAATAATCATCACACACCAGTCAAACATCTCTGATTTGATCCGTCGAGTTTTGACAATTCCGAGATTACTTTAGTCGCATTTGTAAAAAAAAAAAAAAACATCAACGATAGATCGATGAACGTTTTTACCGAGGTATTGACCGGATAATACCCGGATAATTAGGCTCACGAGAAGGTCCGGATCCCAGAGACAAAGGCCCAAATCTCTTAAGAGTCCTTTATGCAAATTTCGGACTCCCGGCATGTCATCGAATCGGAAAGTCCCAATACACGCGCACTACTTCTAGCCAGGAGCATTCTGGGGGAAAAAAGATATTGTCACATCCGGCTGACGTCAAACCGGCCCCTCCTTATTGCTTCTATTAGCGAAAAACCGGCGCGCGGCGCGCAGTTTCGGGTGGTGCGTTTGGACCAGCACCGCGCAGCAGGAAGTCTCAGTATGCTAATGATCATGGGGTGTCATTAACCCCTGCGCGGCCATGATAAATCAATTAATTTGCATGACGCGAGCTCCGCAAACAAATCCTCATCAGGGCCCGCTCTGACCCCGTCTCGTTTTACAGTCGAACGCCTTGTTCATGCCGCGTTAGGCCGAGATTCTCATAATCCGGGAATGATTAAAACAAACCATCCTATAAATAAATAATTGGATTCATCAATGGCTTGAAATTACTTTGGATTGAGATATTTAAGCAGGACTATAATTCGTTGAAGATATGAATTTTATTTGGCGAATTTAAGGGATATAAATTCTAATTACAAAAAAAA